GGGTTTGAACCACCAGACTTCTGGTTAGCAGTTAAATTCCTTAGGCACTATGCCAGCAGAGCTCCTTATAACGGAAGTCAGGGAGGTAATTTAAAATTTTCTAGTAGCCACATTACAAAAGCAAAAAGAAGCAGGTAAAATCATTTTTAATAACGTTTTGCTTAATTCAATGTACCCAAAATAGTATTATTTCAACTATTTTGTATCATTTGCAATCAATATAAAAATTATTACTGAGAAATTTTACTTTTTTTCCCTATATCAAGTCTTCCAAAATCCGGTGTGTATTTTATATCCATCTTAATTTGGATGCTAAATTTTCCTCAGAAATATTTTATCAGTAATTAGTTTTCAAAAAAATTTACAGCTCAAAATGTGCATTCACGTACCCAAGTGATTCAAATGGTTCTTAAACCGTACTTAGTAATGACATCGAATAGCAGGTCTGAATTGACATGTAACTTATTCACATCAACAATTCAGTTCCACAGTGGCAATGGCCTCATTTCTAGTGCTCCATGGCCACTTGTGGCTTGTGTCTAGTCTGTTGGACAGTGCGGGTTTATACCATTTAAATTATATTGGTAACAATCTCATATTTTAACCACTGTCTATTTCCAGCAGTGTAGCAAACTCCACTGGGTTTCCAGTAAATCTTTATGGAAGTAGATCACCCCATCTCCCTTCCATAGAGCAGTTGTTGGGTTTGAACCACTGACCTTCTGGGTAGCGGACAAGTGCCTTATCCACTATGCCACCAGAGCTCCTTATAGATCCCAGTAGCCTTAATGTAAGTAACACTGTTCTATCTTTTCATGGTAGAATACAAGATGTAATTTAAAGTTGGTAAGATTTTTATTTTTACCTTTAAAAAGATGCCTATGACGGCCAAACCATTTTCCTGCAGTGCCGCATCCTCAAAGCTTCCAAATTTGACTGCATTCCAATGCACCAAGTGCAGCTGAAATGCCATGAAAAGGGGTTTTAATCATGACAATATAGGGATACCCCAAAGTACACCAATAGTCTTATTCAACATATGCTATTTAAACATGCGTCTGTGCCAAATAAAGCCACTGGCAAAGCATATTACTGTCTGCTGCAAAAGGAAATAGGAAGAAATGACAGGAAGAAATTTAAATGAGAGCAGCAATTAATATTACTTTGGAATAAAGGGACTTGTTTGGGGGGAAATGGAAGAACATTTATATAGCAAAGTGAGTCACATTTCAGTGGCAGATCAACATTTGTCTGTTTTCATCCAGATGTGCATGATATACTAATATCCCAAAGCCATCTATCTGCATCAGAAGATGTTTCTATTGAGAGAAACAATGGGAATTAGATAGAAGTTGATTTCTTCCTTGAGGGATAACCATTTTTAAATGTGCTTCTCGTTATAGTTAATATAAAGTTTAAAACAAAATTAGAAAAAAAAAAGCTGTAAGAAGAAATTCTATTTCCTTATGTATTTTTTATACAACCCTACAAAGGATTCCTCATCCAGCATTCATGAACTTTCTTTACAACATCACCTTCAACCCAGCCTCCCAAGGAGAAACCTCAAGGTCATTGTTAACTTTGCCCTCTCCTCTCTTGAAGAGGGCCTCACTGCTACATCTGGTGGCTTTTATTGCAGCAATGCTTTTTAACTTTTGCTTTTTCTATTTCTATTGCTATGCCCTCATTTTGCCTCCCATCCTCTCCTACTTGGATTGACCTGGCTTTGGGGTTCTGTACAGTTGCCAACTTCTTACTTTCCACTTTCATTTGGGCCTAGCTCAGAATTCCATAAGAATTCCATTTCAGGATTTTCAGATTCAATTTGGCCACTTTATTTGTCATTTTTACAGGTTGAAGCTGGGTGGAAGGAGCCTTGGTGGGCAGTGGATAAGCATTTGGCTTCCAACAGAAAGTTCTGCAGTTAGAACCCACGGGAGAAAAGACTTGGCTATCTATTCCTATGGTGCAGTGAATTACTTGGTATGGCTTTTCTAGCCATAGTCTTTGTAACTCCCACCAGATTACTGGGTGGGACCATGCAAATGAGGTGTGTAGAACTCTGATGTTGGGATTGGTTAGTTTTGTCACTTTGCCAGGCTTAAAATGAGCCCTTCTAGAGGCAGAGAGGGACTCTCACTGCCATCAAGAGAGAAGAGCTGGAAGTGAAGTGGAACGCGTCCCTGGACCTGAAATCCCTATGCTGGACCTCCTTGGCAGAGATGTCTGGCAGAGAGAGAGATGCCTGGCAGAGAGACGGTGGCAGTGGAACCAAAAGCCACGAGACAGAGTGGTAGGCTTACCTAGCCCACTGAGTGAGAAAGTTGAGTGCCCTTGGGCAGGAGGCTTGCCAGAAGAGTGGGGTGCACCTAGATGTACCTATCAGCAGAGCTAAAAGAACTTTGTAACAAATAGCAGAGCAAGACAGAGGCCAGGCCAAGAGGCGAAGGGCCAGAGAGGCATGCCTGAGAGCACAGCAGAGGGGAGACTGTCCTGATCGAAGAATTATATCCTGAGCATGTTCTTGAACCTGAATTGTAGCCTGTTACTTCCCTAATAAACCCCACAATCATGTGTATTGTGAGTTCTGTGTGGCCAATGCAATGAATTAACGAACCCAGCAGAGAAGTAGTGAGTGCCATGAGAGGGACGTTTGGTGTCAGAATTGGTCAAAGGCTGGAGGGTGGTAGCATGTTTGGCCTCATAGGAATAAGCCTTGGGCTGTTGATGGTGATTCTGCCTTCCTCTTGTGAAGCTAGAGGTCAGAAGATGCTGCCTCCCTGCCCTTTTTGCAGTTGCTGTAAAGATTAACAAACAAACAAACAAACAAAACCCATTGCCAGCAAGCTGATTCCGACTCACAGCAACTCTATAGAACAGAAGAATAGAAATGTCCCATAGGGTTTTCACAGCTGAAATGTGTTTACAGAATCAGACTGCCACATCTTTCTCCTGTGGAGCAGTTGGTGGCTTCAAACCAATGATCTTTCAGTTAGCAGCCGAGCGCTTAACCACCACACTACCAGAGCTCATTCCCTGTCTTTACAGAATTAGATTGCCTCATCTTCCTCCTACTGACCCGATGATGGGTTTGAACTGCTGACCTTCTGCTTGGCAGCCAAATGCCTTACGCCCTGTGCCACCAGAACTCCTTCTGTAAAGAGGACAGCCTGGTAAACCCTATGGGGCAGTTCTACCCTGTCCACCAGGGTCGCATCGCTGTGTGTCAGAGTCAATTTGACGGCACACTTGAAGAATGTAATCAGTGTCGTTGAACTATACATGTGGACATGGTTGAACTGGTGTATGTTTTGTTGTGGACATTTCCAACAACAAAAAATAAAGAGCCCCTGAGAGTGCTCTGAGCCCTTACAGTGATCACCTGGTTCTTACTGATATGCAATTCTTAGAACTACAAGACTTAGAACCACCCCATTTCTCCAAAGTTGTCACAGTCCCCAAGCACCTGACATACCTCCGCCGGGAAGCATTTGCTGTCCACGGTGTGCTCGGAGCCCCAGGTGTCGATGGCCCCCCAGTGAAAATGGAACTGCTTCAATCGGTAGTTGTCATCCAGGGGTCCCCCTTTGATCACTGAAATGACACATCCAGCAATTCAGGGAAAGGTCACACATGCTGTGGGGTGTGGGGGGACAGGCCAAATCTGTCTTTAAATGGAACACTCTATTACAGACAAGCATTCATAAACTTGATTTCCATGCAGTTAATACATGTGTTAAGGGTGCAACCTACCCCCAAATAACACGAAGGTGTAACTCCATAGCAAGCAAACAATCGTGAAGGCCAGCCCTTGAGCTTATCCGTAGTTTCTACATCACATGGTGCAAGTGAACACAGATTTCTCTCAGTATATTTATCCAGCTCAACCTCTGAAAAACTGAAATACGGGGACAAACAATATTCTCTTTCCTTTTTTGTGTGCTGATACTTGGTAAATTTTTTAAATACTAGTGTTTCTTTCCCTTTGAATGAAATGGAATAAAGAACTTCTAAGTCAAAAATGACCATTCATCTCCCTTTGAACAGCGTGAAAAATGTGAGTGACCCCATGCTTCAACATCGGCCCATCCTATTTGGGATGATAAATACTTTTTTCAACTCAGTTTTTCTGGGACTGGTGAAATCAACACATTACAGGCCAAATGGAGAGGGACAAGGTTTAAAGTCTCCCTTTCTCAGGCTTTTGGTGGGGTTGATTTTTTTTGCTTGGTTGGTTTTCTTGGCTTGAATTTAGTACTGCATAGTTATTCTTCATTTTTTCCAGTTCATCAGTCTGTCTGTGTATCATCAGACCAACACACTGCAACACAAAAACCATTCATTTAACAATCCTAATTACCTTCCAGGAGTACTGCATCATTAGTTCAATTTTATATACACACACAGATGATCAAGTGCAGCAACTCCAAGGAACAGATGTACCAGCTAGGTCACACCAGGGTCTGTTATGTACTCTGTTGCTTTTGAAAACATTTTACATAATTTCCTCCTTAAGAAAAACAAAAAGAAGAAGAAGAAGAAGTAGAAGTGATTTTGTAAGAGGGGAATGTTTTGGTTACCTCCAGTGCCACTCTAACCGAAAATACCACAGATGAGTGAATGGCTTCAACAAACAGGAGTTTATTCTCTCACAGTTTTGGAGGCTAGAAGTCCAAGTTCAAAGTGCCAGGCTCTAGGGGCTAGGTGAAAACCCCTCGACCTTGGGCTTCAGCTCTGCCTCTTCCTCCCGGCCCGCTGAAGCTGGAGGCTTTCTTCACTCAGGCAGCTGCTGGATGCTAAGGCTGACAACCCCAAAGTCAACAAGTAAAAAGGCACAGTCCTCATATTACCAAACCACGCAGAAGGCCACTGAATCAAGTCCATTATTAGGAGTCCCAAGATCAACAGACAACATGGCAGGCTGCTGAACAAATGACTGGGCTACATGCAGGATTCAAGCATGCAGACCATCCCTAAAGCTTCTGCTTATATACTGGAAGCAGACTCCATGACAAAGGCAGCTACTCAGTTGCTCCCAATAGATTCCATCATGGAGTTGATTACCAGTCTCATCATGGGGAATACTACTTCCAACTGCCCAGCCATTCAGAACCAGGCCCAGCCAGGTTGACAAATAACCTTAACTACCACAGGGAGTAAAGACAGCAAAGACTAATTCCTCTTGGAAGCAGGGGAGGTGCAGAGAACAATACCACGTGACTCAACACATTGGGAGGGGGGCTGGCCTGAAATAAAAACAAAATGACATCTTCCCACACTCTCATTTTTCTATGCCAGCTCGATATTGTGAGTACAATTTTGGCAAATATTCAATCCAATCTGTTAAACCAAACTGAAGTTTGGGTCCCGAGTGATGTAACTAGGGCAGAGGAGAGCAGATGGCCTTTCCCTCCTGGCCCTCAACACAACACTGGGCCTCTGGTGATGATGGGCTGGAAGGAGAAATCACTGATGGGTGGGTGCGGTGGGTGGGGAGCAGAATTGGTCTACAGAGGGGGCTTTGATTCACCCACACAGTGCTGAGTCACACGGTACTCAACAAAATTTGTAATCTGTTGCCAACATTTAAAGCTGGACAATATCACATCAAAAAATCCAGACTCCTAAACTGACTTGAAAAGAGGTCAATGTGGTCATGTTGGGTGCACACTCCTCCTGGGCAACAACACACTGGGAAGGAGAAATGGTGGCTCCCATCAGTTCTTCACAGTCCCCCACTGCTGGGCTCCTTAGACCCTCCCAGCCTTGCTCCCTGGCCTGCAGGTACATTTGTATTTGTGATTCCTGGGAAAGAAAAGGTTACAGGCTCAGGCATGTGATGCTCGCACCTGCTAGCTGGGAACATCATTAAGTCCCTAGTATGTGCTGGGCACTCACCCCTATATATTGCCCATAGTGGAAAGGTGAAACAAGGAAGTATTCTACTGTATAGTGTGGTTAAGAGCATACGCTTTGCAGGAAACGGTCTCAGTTTGCCTGAAGTGGTTGTGTGTCATCAGCCAGTGTGCTGGTAGCTTCCAGGAGGGCTTCCACCATCTCTCCCACCTCCTGGGAGTCACACCCTTGTGTGATCCCCTCCCATGAGTGAGAACTGGACCCAGTAACTTGTTTTGAAGGGCAAAATGATGGGATGTCACTTTCAAGAGCAAGTTACAAAAATCCTGTGGGCTCCGTCTTGCTTCCCCTCTGGCTCTCTTGCTTGCTCACTCCAACGAAGCCAGCTGCCATGTTATGAGGTGCCCTGTGGATAGGCCCCTGGGGCAAGGAGCTAAGGATGCCCTCTGACCAACAGCCATCGAGGAACTAAGACCCTGAGAGAGACTGAATCCTGCCACCGGCCACAGGTGTGAGCTTGGAGGCAGAACCTCCCCCCGTCAAGCCTTGAGATGAGATCCCAAATCGGTTGATTTAAAAAAAAAAAACAATTTAATTATTACTTTCATCACATGAATTTCATGAAACAGGGTATCTGAAGAAGATAGCTTTTTTCTTTCTTTTACCAGAATAGGTGTCCACATGCAGGAGAAGTCCTACAAGGTGACGGCTGGTTGTCAAGGGGAGGCAGTCGAACAGCATCCTGAGAGTGGATGGGGTGAATGCAGACTGCTCCCCCTAGCTCAACCAGATTTGTGGCTATGAAGTCATCACCCCAGATGTGCCATTTACTATTGGCAAAGACGGAAAGAATAAAGGAGTAGTCTTCTCCAGCTAGGACTAGCAATCTCGGGGCAGACAAGCCTATCAGATCTAAGCCCAGGTTTATATACGGGGTACTCTGCAGCACTTCTGTGAACCTCACAGATTTGGAGTCCTGACTTGGTGTGTGTTTGTTCACATTTATGTTTCACTCTGCTCCCAACACTGGTTGACATCTTGATCACAATCCTATAAGAGACCCTGAGCCAGAGGGCCCAGAAAAGCCAGAATCCCAGCCTCTAAGTGAAGTCTGCAAAGCCCTCTGCAAATTGGCTCCTGCCTACCTCTGGGCTTGCTCTTCTGCCACTTTCATCTTGGACTTTACATAGAGTAATACCTAACGTAAGCATAACACCTCCACCTCCACAGGGGCTGCCCAGGTGTCACTTCCACCAAGAAGTATTCTCCCCCCAGGTCCCATGTACACCTTCCGCCAGAGCACTACACACTCTGCATTAGTGCCATCTCTCCAAAGGTCTTCCCCCTCACTACACTACAAGTTCCTTAAGGGAGGGATCACCCCCATTCCTCCTTCTACCCTGAGCACCTGGCACAGTGCCTGGCAATGAGTAGATCCTCAATGAAATAAGGAACTAAGGAAATAAACTGTAAAGGGGCTGTCAGGTTTGTTAATTGGGATGTCACTGGTAACTTCTGCAAAAGGTGAGGAAAAGGGTCAGGCAGGGTGGGGGTGATGGAGGAGAGGAGGAGCCACTGTTCTCAAGAAACTGAGTGGTGAAGGTAGTGAGACAGGGAGCACGGCAGTCATAAGATATAGCCAATAAATACGAACTACACCAAAGCCCCTGCCGTCGAGTTGATTCCAACTTACAG